AGAAATCCATTCTTTACAATAAAGACATTTTCGTTAACATCTCTGAAGGAAAGTAAGACAGTTATCTCTCCCAAGAAAAGCCATTTTTATGTGGGATAACTGACGGTACAACTATTTTGTCTAAACACCGCACAAATGGCTATCCTACTTGATTAAACAAATATCGCTTCAAAAATTACACGATTGCTATTTGGACTAAAAATATGTTAACTTAAAAGTTTGTGTGCTCTAGTATATTTGAACATGGAGAAGATAAATCTAGATTGATCCCACACGCTGGGACGCGTTTTATATTACTGTGCAATCATTCACACAAGGTAACAGCTGTAAGCCCTGTTACTGCTACGAAATGAGTTCAGTAGGTGCTAAGTACACCGACCTGGAGGATTTGATAGTAACACAATATATTTCGGAAGTAAACATTTATTGGTTATTTAGGGATAAAAGCACACAGCACAAGGAAGGGCGAAGAATCCAGAACTGCTCCTATCACAATGAAAACAAGTATGTGGTCATTAGATTACATCAATGAGCTACAAAATATTCAATATCCTATATAATAGACTAAACTGACGACACTGTTTTGCTTTCTTTTTTACTTTAAAACCATCGTAAGTCTTTCCTGAGGGACTATATAGAAAAGAGGTCATGGTGCTGTTGGCGGTGGATAGAGCACAAACGTCAAATATGGACGATGTATTTACATCAAGCAAAGAATAATTTGGTTTTTAACTTGAACCTATAACCAAACCCAATAGTGAGCGAGAACAATTAACTTAACCACATATAGAACAAATTGCATCCTCCTGTAGAACTTTGATGTGTGTTGCAGTGCGTAACTCAAAATAAATTGGATGAAATTTGCAGCAAGATAATTTCATTTGTTATGTACTACACGAATTATATTTGTACCATGTTTTGCGCATCAATCCGTTCTAATCCAATTTTCCGGCTTAGGTTTTGTATTCTGTTCAAAGCAGGCCTATTGTAATCAATAACTCTTTAATTAAGACTCCGTTTTGATCCCGAAATAAAATGATATTTTTTCTCCTGAAAAGTTTTTTCTTTAAATTTATTGCGCAATTTTTCCTATATGATAGAGAACATGTAGTAAGTAATATGTTGTGTACAGGGAAATTTTTTAACGAAATTTTCAAACCAACAAGGCCGCATAATATCAATTGTTTCAATCAGCATTAAGTTTGCGGATTCGTTCGCTTTCTACTAACACCTATATTATTTAAGGTATCTCGTGTATCAGCTATAATTTCATTCTTTCAAACGTCCAACACAAGCACAGGAATTATTTAAACCAATGAAAATGTTCAAAGGTTGGAAATTAAACATCGTAATTTTAATCTCACGAGGTGCAGCAAAAGATGGAAAGTGACGTTAAAATACCAATAATGCAGACATCAATTCCTGTTTATTGTGCCTCGTGTAATACAACTTAGACGTTAAAATACCAATAATCCAGCCATCCATTCCTGTTAATTGTGCTTCGTGTAATGTAACTTAGACGCCTCTTAATGCCCTCATTCCAGCTTTAATTTAAATATTTGATCTTATCAAAATATTACATGTAATTCTTTCCATTATATAGTCATTAATGACCTTTGTTTAAGTGGATTGTGCTCACGGAATAACAACAATCATATGTTATTCTCAAGTAAAATCATTAGATCACTCAAACTTATATACCCTTTGTATAATTTAGTCTTTATTTTTCATATGTTGAAGTTACATTTATATCGCTCTGTTTATCTTTGATTTGACAGGGAAAGAATTTAACAATGCAAACTCCTTTTTATATACTACTGTATTATTAAAATCAAATTAATGCATATAATCTTAATATATAAAAAAGAAAGCAGACAGCTGCACACTCAGTAATATCTATATTTTGGGAAAGCAGGTGTTACGAGTTAGTGAGACCACTCTATGTTCACGCCCACATCTGACCTATTAACTGACTGGAACAAAGAAGTGTAATGTGATATGGCAATGATGCAAATGTATAACCAACCAGAAGTTCGTCCTGGATAACACTTACTGTGGGGTAATAATCCAAAAAGGTACGATAGTGCGCTTCCAGATTTAAGAAAGAGATGATGCGTATTATGTATTATCGATTAGCGACATTTAGCAAAATAATGGTGACATGGTTCCAATTGCAAGATCGGTTCCAAAAATGTAAAAACCATTAACTGTACATAAACTTTAGAAAGGTAAATCCTTCTCGATAATTGTAAACATGAACAGGAAAATTGGTGTCTAACGTTCGAACGTGTATCCAAATTTAAAAATTAGACCTTATGTAGGCACGTGTCTATTAGCATATATGGTACTTCAACACACATGGCTCTGACAGCCAATACAAATTATAAATATGAGTTTCAGTCAGATAATACCCGAACCACACTTTTTGCCTTATCAAACAGATAAGATAAATCTAGATTGATCCCACTGGTCAACCGAACATTCTGTTTATGTATTTACAAACTGTCCAGGAATGCTTATCACACAAATATTCATCACTCGTAAATGTCATTTCAATATTACATTTCAGATACAGGATTATGAAATGTTTCGATCCTATAATGTGTTTGGTGTTTTCTCTGTTTACATACATGTCCTTAAACTGGCCTCAAAACTGTTGTAATGGACACCATGAATATCTCAAGCATGAACGTAAAAGACAGATGTACGCATTATTCTGGTCTTACTAATAAAACAATGGACTCATCTTCGACTGCTGCTTTGATAAACACTAAAAGTTTCTGGATATCTGTGTGAAAAGGAAAATGGCAAAATTCCTGGCAGGAAAAGTTCTCTGAACAAACAAAAGAGAAAGTCATTGATTTAATTATTCTTAGTAGTTTAATATATTGGTTATTTAGCATACACGAGACGCATATATTTATTGGCCCTAACATAATATCATAATTTCTTTTAAAATTAGCATTAAATATCTAAATAATGAACTATTTCCCTGTTAAATACATTTTATTAATTTTGTTGTGGCCTGATATTGCAAACAAGACTTAAAATTTTATGTGCATGACAATGTAATAAAAAATAAATAAAAACGGGCCTGTACAAGTTATAATTCCCAGGACACTATGTTCAACTCATTAAGTAATTACAACCTATGGAAATATTTGTACTGTGCAAACAGTTTGAAAATCGGTCCAGAAAATGAGGGAATTAAGTTTAAATTTGAAATATGCCTTCAATTCCTTCTGACCAAAATCGAAAAACATCAAGTTTTCAGTTATTATTTTTTTCTTTCAAAGTCTATTACGTCCTACACCAATCTAAATTTGATCGCAAACTCATAACGTTTTTCCAAATAAGTCTAAAATGTGATCACCAAAGAACATAATACCACTTTCAATTTATGCAATAAATATTGAGTTCACCAAACTATGTGATTGTAGCTTTTGAAATTATTTTTAATAATGAATATTTGTAACCTTTGACTGCACAAATGATGTTAACTGTGGTAATTGCTCTTATCGTTAGAAGCTGGCTGTTTTCATGAAAATTCACAAAAATCGCTACTCTTGTCAGTAAACCCAACTATTCAAATTTGGATCCATTATGGAGGCAGACCATCTTGTACGCACGAGATAATTTACCTTTGAGTACGAAACTGTTATTTATTACAATAATTCAAATAACAGAAATCCCGTCATAAAATGCAGACGACATGCTTAAATGGTCTTGACACATGTCTTATTGAATGGATTTAAAATTTACACTCACTTATGATTGACGGTGTGTGAAGAAAATTAATTTTATTGGATTTATGTATGCCAAGTTAAATTTGAACACAACTAAGAGACTGATTCCGCTTCAGATATTAAGATATTAATAAATATTTTTGAGATAACTGTCCTTAATATAAAAGACTATTTAAGTACAAAATAAAGTTCAAAATTTAATTTCGTGAACATTTTAAGTTCAAAACAAGGCCAGGTCTATCACTTCAATGTTTGTAAAATACCTGACAAAGATCAGATAGGCAGTGTTTTTTTTAACGAAGTACTTATGTCCTGAACTCAAATTCAAGCAAACATGTTTACCTACAAGTAATAATTATCTTTTTAAAATCTGCAATTATAGACAAAAATTAGCTATGTGATATGTTGTTTGTAAAACAGTTACTTTAGATAGGTCCAAAATCTACATTCAATTATGGATAAAAGTCAATCAGCAGCGTCACTAGGAGTGCGAGGGTTGGGCACACCGAGTGACACCATCAGAGGGGTGGCAACAAAATGATTCAATACAAGTTTTGAATTTTTGCTCAGGAAAGAGGTTCATAGGGGTGACATCATGAGACACGACTGTCTATAAAACATTTTAATATTTGTGCAGAAAAGAGGTTCATGTGTGTGACAACATGAGTTATAGCACTGGGTGAAACCATCTTTAGTAACGCCATTGAAGTTAGTTACTTAATACAAATTATTCTATTTTATCATTGTAAGAGGTGACGTGATCTGATTATGATTTTTAACGTAGCTTAAAATATTTTTCAGTCATATCGCAACGATGTCTGCTGTTGTTGTTGTTGGGCTTAACGCGATTTTTCAGCACATGATAGGCTATTCATGGCAAACAGTATTATTGGTGGAGGAAGAAACCGGGAAATCACCGGAAAGAACCACCGACCCACGAGAAGCTACTGGCAAGCTTTCTCACATATCCACATTCGCCGAATCCTAGACTCGAACACACGCAGACAGAGGTGAGATGGCAGTGATCGGTAACGGACAGCGCTTAAGGCCACTCGGCCACTCGGGGCCCTACGATGTCTGCAGTGTGTCAATTTATAGTGATGTCTAGAACTTGGGCATCATGCCACGGACATGTATGATGTCCCACCCATTCACATTATCCTGACACCAGGCCGACCAGTCCTAACACTAACCTTCTTAATGCTGAGCGCCAAGCGAGGAAGCTGTTAGTGCCATTTTTTTAAGTCTTTGGTATGACTCGATCGGGAATCGAACCCACGACCTCTCGCATCCGAGGTGGAAATTCTAACCACTAGGCCATCGGAGCGGTTATCATAATGGTAAAAGAAGCAACGCAATTACTTGAACACTGAACTTGAAGGACATGTGACGTCATTATTTAACATATATCAATCAGTTGCTATATGTTAGTTTAATCATCGTTCAGTTCCTGATTTCGATGTAATTCAGTGTACCTGTGGAAAATGTTGAAGATGGACATTAGAGAAAACATTTTGAATATTATTTTGGAATGTTAGGAAGGATAAATAAGTTTAAACAGATTTATTTATGTTGAAAACATTGTATTACGTTTATCAATACGAATATTCTAACAATATTTACATCTTTAATTACCCAAGAACTTGATACATTCGTTTGATAATTTGAGATCTGGTGTAACAGCTAATAGTCCCTGAGTATCAATTGTTATGTAAAGATATATGTAGTTGTTTCTAAGCTGATTTTTGGTTCGGCTTTTGTTTTTAATAATCATCAACACCTATGCATGCATTGATAAGCACAGTTCTACAATGTATCATTTGCCTTGGTCTTATGATGAACAAATGAATGAATAAGTGGAAACAGGTGATCCTCATTACATAAGACGCTATATGAATAAAAACTCAATTGATGGTTAGAATTAGACGGCAAGCAGCGCGTGGTGTGCATTATAATCAATTTATTAAAATTTGCTTGCAGAAACGAAAGTTCCACACCACTCAGTAGATAATGGCATAGGTCATCGTTAAACCAAATGATCATTCAATACGGATTTTCGGATTTTAGGTGGAAAATCTATAAGTTTTAATTAACGAATTTTCTACAGCTCAAAGAGTGATAAAATTATTAGTAAAATCTAACCAGATAGAAATACGATGACTTTAATAAGAATGCAGTTAGAAATGCCATCGGTAATATTATATCATGAAATTAATCCGCCGCCCAGCAATATTACGGCTTGGGCCAAAATATTATTTAAATATCGTGACTAGAAATACTTTTGTCCTAATGATGAGAATCAACACTGTAAAAAAACAAAAACATGTTTGCCTTTTTGTTGGATGATACGTACTCCACAAGGAAAGGCCAAATTAAGGCGGATTAAAACGAACAGCTGCTCCAAGACCCCAGCCCGGCGGATTTTCATCAATGCATTTATATACAGGGAGTCGAGAGCTTTTTTTAATTGCTTCGGTGCTTCTTTCCACATTATTCCTGCTTGATTTGTGTTGACACAATATGTCTCTGATGTTTACGCATAAATTGTTATTACGTACACTGCAATAAATACCTAACGGACAATCAACTAATCTGAGCACAGAAGAAAACAAAATAAAACAGTTGTGTGCATGTGTAGGTATGTATGTGTGTTACATACATCAGGTAAGCATGCATCCAATTTCTAAATGTGGCTTGTGAATATTACATGAATTCTTCACACGTATTCTGAATATTCTCCTGGATGTTACTCCTGCTCGTAACTCAACTTCAGACTAATAGAATTGAAACATATTTATGCCAACTATCCATTTAAAAAAGGCTTTAAAATCTAATTTTCACTAAAATGATGGATTGTCTGCAGAATAGTTTAAAGTACTGTATGACATTGTTGCCACAATGGTGTAGTTTTCTATCATGCACAGATGTTATACATGATGCATTCAAGACGAATTCTTACTAGATAACTTTAGATAAATTATTTTTTTGTATCTTAAATGCCAGCGATTAAATTATATTTTTTCTACTTATTCACCATTTGAGTAACCAAGCTTACATGACGGCACTTGGGATAAGACAAAAACTGTCGGGAATGGAGGCAGGGCAAAAGATTAACAGTCAAGGTCACCGTGACTAATAGAAGAACTTTGGTTTCCCCACAGTAGCGTCTCCACAAGCGACCTAAATCGAACTTTCTGGATGGCTAGCAGAATTATTGAATACTTTTTCATAACTATTTAAATATCTTATCAAGCTGTTATATATATATATATATATATATATATATATATATATATATATATATATATATATATATATATATATGTATATATATATATATATATAACAGCTTGTTAAAAATTATGAAATCAGCTTTGTTTCTTAGATTTTAATTTTGTTGCTGATCTTGTTTAAAATCAAGCTTATGTTATACCTTAGCTTAATCATTGAAGTTTAATTCTATAACCAGGTAATATATATTGTAACTATTTTCTCTATAAGTATTGGTTAAATGTTAGGATTAGTATTATGATAATAAAAATAAACACATTTATATTGACCCGATTTAAAGGACATTTCATCTTGGAAACAAATGGGACTTTTTAGAATGAATTTTTCATTCAGGCAACAGATTTTGTTCTAAAAACTGTTAATTGTGACCTGGGTCAATCTTATTTATGGAAAAATTGTTTATTATATTGTATGATCTGAGTAGAATCAATTATATTAATGTTGTGTCCAGTATTCACATCGGCTGGTATTTCTTTATTCAAATTATTTAACTTCACGTTTTCTGTTCTGGAAATATAAAGGGCGCAACCATAACATTCTTGGCAATATTTTTTTGTATTAATGGTGAAAATTCAAATAAGGATATATTCTGGGATTGAACCATTGAGATAATTCAAAAGACTGTTGTCACATCAATACGACACAGTCCCCCACATGCACATCAACACTTTCTGTGTTGGATTTCTTTTATAACGCCACTAAAGTTTGGTCAGAACTTAAAATATTAGGACTTGCGTTCGAAGTTCTATGATTATTTTTGGATTGTCTTTTTACATATTTTCATTTTGTCTTCTAGGGAAAATGAATTATTTGTTAAATTTTACAAAGCTCGTTGCTTCTCGGTCTTTTCTATTACATTTATATAGAAGCAAGTGAATGAAAACAATAGAAATGAAACATTTTGATAGATAATATGTGAAAGAGCATGGTTCAACTTTGTAATTTTTTAGTTTAGTACAATTTTAAAGTCAGGCAACAGTTTCCCTTAGTATGTCCCACTGGCTGAAACATCAACAATGAAGTAGGAAAAATAGTGCTAGCCTCTTGCTCTTCATTTATAAATACCGAACAAAAACATTAAACGTGAACATATATATATATATATATATATATATATATATATATATATATATATATATATATATATATATATATATATATATATATATATATATATATATATATATATATATATATATATATATATATATATATACACCGATGACAACGTTGCGGAGTCTGGCAAGACTTCCAATGATCTAGCACAGTATAATTTTACAGTTCATGCACACTTCATTACTGTGTTATAGATAATGGATAGTCATAAAGCTAAAAAAATATCTTTCTATTGTATAAACGTTTTTATGGTAGTTAAGGTCACAAAACGTTGTGAAATGTTGTAAGGGATATTCAAAACAGTTTTCATAAAGAAAATGCACATAATATTATCCATTTCGCATAGAATCTGACTCTTGTAATTTCATATATTGAATTGCACAGATAAAATATTTCTTCCCATAGAGGCGATGATATCATAATTAAGAGGAGGTAATCCATAGAAATGAATGTATTCTACACTACAGGAGTTGAGAACGGCTACCCAATGTGTTCCTTAACGATGGCTGTTTTCAGTAATGAAGACAAAGGAGTGAACGATTTTAGATTTTCGATGAAGAAGTTCATCATTAGTACACACCACTGGATTCAGATCACACTTGACCTCTCCCTTGAAAATATCTGTGAAGTAAGTCCATGAAAGTATGTCTCTTTGCTTTGTTCCAAGAGAGTTTCAGTACGTTTTGTTCCAGAGAAGTCCATAGGGAAATATTTATACCACATTTTCATAATCTTTTCGTCTAAGATAAAAGTCCATGCATCTTAGTGTTGCTCTTTCAACTTGTTATCTGAACTCATCATCAACTGTTGTCGTTTTATTTCTGACTAGGATAATTGATTTGACAACAGTAACAATGCCTTCTGGTTGTTGGTATGATTCTTGCAGTCAAATATGAGTCTGTGTTCTTTTTCTGGTAATCTTGAGATGATGTATATTTGTCTTCTTCACTTCTGAGACTTATGTTATTGTTGTTCTGGTTAGAAAACATCCTCTTCATCTATCTCCATATGATAATATTATTTTTTCTTCTAATAATCGAAGACCACTTCTCGTAAGTGCATTCAGTACACCTTGTTCGCTAGATCTACTGCAACCTAAAACTTTACACGCATTTGGCCCGATTTTATAGGGTTGAAATATCCCTCGTTGCTGCCTTGGTCAGGACTAAAATAAAATCCCCACAAAGCATGTCCTCCTCCTTAATTTCGTACGAAATGCCCTGGCATAAAATGATATATAGCTGTCCTGTGGCAATCAATATCTTTACATTTTCTGTAAAATGTTCGGTTCAAAGGGACTGATGCACAATATTTAACCGTCTTTGATAACTTCTATCTTTCATTCTATCATGGAATTGGAAATCACTTTGTTTTGATGAGCATTTGTTTTGTAGTTGTCCTTGGTAAACATGATCAAAAACATTAGTAAATATTTTAACTTTAGTAGAGGATACTTGACTGCCATTCTCCTCATAGTTTGATTAATACTGCTTCTATCTTTAGATAAGTCGTTCACATATTTTACTTACATTCTCGCTTCTTCGATGTTCGTTTTGTACATGTTAGCATTAGCCAACAAAGCACTCTACTACTTCGATTGCGTCTCAGACGTAAATGGTTCAAAGAACTTTTTTAAACAAAATGGCACTAACAGCTGCCTCGCTTGGCGCTCAGCATTAAGATAATGTGACTTGAGTGGGACATCATGCCACATGTCTGCACCATGATGCCCCAGTGTAAGACATTACAATAAACTATCACACTGCAGACATCGTAGCAATGTGACTGAAAAAGTGTTGAAAGTTAAGTTATAAATCTAAATCACACACACACACACACAAACACACACACATAGATGGTTCTGGTCCTCAAGGAGTTACTCGTGACATTATACACCACAAAGATATGGCATGAAAAGGC